ATATAATTATATATAATATAATACCAGAGACATGGTCTGTGTTCAAAGCCCAGAAGACATCAGTTACCAAAATGAGAAGGGATGGGGCTGCCTTACCTTACAGGCACAGACCACAGCGTGTGGGAAATCAGAAATCGGCACTTTGTTCTTTCTAGAGAGAAGGAAACCAAGAAAATAAAAAAAGTAGAGCAGAGTCAACTTACCTGGTTGCGATCTCTCTTCCCCATGGATGGCAACCAAAAACTGGAAGGAGGCAGAGTCGGAATGACAGGTGGGAGCAATGCCAAGGAAGAACCAAACACAGGGAGCAGGGGAAAAGGAGGGTTGGGGATAAGGAGAGAAAAGGAAGGGAAGAACAAAGATGGAGGGAGAAGAAGAAAGATTAACCATCAGCAGGACTCATATTAAAACCCAAGAATTTCAGATCCAAGGAAGAAAACTGGATACCAACAGCTGGTAAAAGCTGGACCCACTACTCTACAGTCAAGAGGTGCCACCCTTACCTATCCGCTGACCAACAAGAAGAGCATTAGAGGGATGCCAAAGGATGTGCACCATGTTTCCGGTGCTGACTACAATTTAAATACACTAACTGGGGAAAGAGACAGAACACCAAAGAAAGAGAAAGCAATTGTGCAGCTGCCTTGTCAGCATCATTTCTGCAGTCTGGGTATGTGCCCATAGCGTGACTCCACACAGATGCTTTTTAAATAACTAACACATAGGGCTCAGTCTTCTTATACTGTGCAGAAGATCTGCACTTATTGCAATAGCCTATTATAAGGAAGGGGGAAAGAAAAAGATAACTGTAACCAAAAGGGCATGTGAGCAGTGTCCACACACTGGAGCAGCCTAATAAACAAAGGGAAGTCAGCAACTACAAATAAGAAAACAGAGAAGCCATCAGTAGAGGACTGCCTCCCATTCCACATGTCACTGCATGCTTAAGCTACCACCCAGTTCTTCATTCCCTTCAGTCCCAGGAGGGAAGAGGACCCTATAGTTCTTCCTCCCTCCCAAAGTTCTACACAACAGCTGTTAAGGGCCTTACTCTTTCTGGCGTGGATCACTAACAATACGACCTAGCCTCTCGGTGCCCAGAGTGCTGCTCATGGAGGTCTCCTGAAACACAAAGACAGGTAAAAGGTTGCAGACTCTCACACAGTGAGCAGACATAATAGTTTGCTGCTGCCAGTAAGAACAGATTTTACCCTGCCCGGGCCACATCCTTTCCTTCCCAGCCCACTCTCAGCTAAACATATTCACCCTCTCCGTTTAGAAGCTTAACTGAGCTGATTTAACTAATTAGAATGGCAGAAAATAGACTGGTTTTATTTGTGGGGCTTGTTTTTTATTATTTTAGTGATGATATTTGCTTCCACAGGGGCGCACCAACAACTGGACCAGTACAAAGTACGCAGCACAAGGATACAGTTAAGAACAGGGGAAATGGCTGAGAAGTGCTTATTTCCAGGTTGCTGGGGTCAGCTGGGACAGAAACAGGCTCAAATACAGGACATCACACTGTCCCACTAACAATGGGGATTCACCAGGCACAGATGAATGAAACAAGGAGTATGCATGAAGCTTTTGTCCTTTCTGAAAGCAGCAATTCAGCAGCAGGACCTCTAGCAGCTAAGAAAAAAAGGTAGGTCCTATGAGAAAGGACTTGCTCTGGCAGCACGTTTCTCCCAGTGAGACACTACCCTGTGTATGTACTTGACACTGGCATACACATACACACACAGCCTGAAGCACCAGCTGTTCATATCTGCATAGCAACTACCTCCAAGAAAGAAATATACTTTGCAGTAAGGGTCTGAACGCGAGGGTAAAAAGCTTTCACAGTTAAGATTCTTCACAGTTTTTGCCAGGTACATACGCAAAACACACTGAAAGTTTGGGGGGGAGCTGTAGCAGCAGGGGTGAAAGATGGGCTATTTGTTACAGCAGGAAAATTATTAACTTAAAGTGCCGTAATGTTTAAATTTACGGTTTATTACTGTGTAAATTACAAGCCGTACTTTTGGTAATTAGCAGCTCGCTGGCGGGGAGCTCTGAATGAAACTCATTATTTATGATTACAATTTAGAGAGAGAAGGGGAAGGGGGAGCAGTGACCTCCGCTGCAAATGACAAAGATCCCTTTAAGGTGATGAAGATGAATTAAACAAGTAAATATTATCCTTCTCATTTGGATCATTAGAGGTGCTGCCGACAGGCCCAGCCACTTGCAGGTGGCCTGAGGAACCCTTCCCAAAGCCAGTCTCTTGCCAGCCGAGGATTCATAGTTTAAATGCTGGTTACAACTAAGCAAGGTGAGTGGAAGAAAGAAGGGGCAAACAAGGATCTTTCAAGTGTGACTGAACAGAAGGAAGAAGTTGCACTCCTCTAAATTCCGGGCCCCTCTAACACACCTTGCTAACAGACTTTCTAAAGCCAGTCAGCTCAGAATATATGCCAGTATTTTCAAAAGCATAGAGCACATCCCAAGTAAAAATAAAGCCAAACACAGGCAACACTTTCCTTCTTAGAAACATCTTTTACAACAGACAGCAGCACTCAGTGCTCCAAGATCCAGACCCAACCAGATGTATCCCCCCCTCTTTCAGGCAGACATCTTCAAAGTATTGCTTATTTCTTTAGAAACAGGTTTAATATTGATCGTTGTTTACCCTACATATAAGAAACCTAGTCAATTGCTCTGGGTAACTTTGCATTATTCCTCTTATTCTTCTGTATCCCCACTAAGAATTCAACAGCTGAAACTACCTTCCTTTGCTGCCATTCATATCAGTTTGCTTCCCTACCTAAAATTTGGCCTTCCTTCACCTTTAAGTCACCTCTCCGCCCTTGTAGTCTCAGATTACGTGTCACGCCATCATCATTTTCCCCTACATTCTGTCTAAATCTTCGTGATATTTATGCTCTCTGTCATTCATCTTCAGACCTCCTTTCATGCTGCTTTTAGCACTGATCAACTGTCTTTGCCACTCCAAACCTGCCTTAAAATCCACTTAGTCACTCCATCAACTTCTGACAGTCAAAGCAGTTAAACAAATCAAACAATACAGGAAACAAAAAATGTACAGGGCCCCTTTCTGCAGAAAACAATTCACATAATATCTTAGAATAGTACTTCAGGACTGATCAGCATTGGAAATATAAAATTATTATCCTGCAAAAGGGAATACCTTGCCAACAAGCTTCCTCCGACCTTTTCGGAGACAACGGGCAGCAGCTCCTGGAAGGCGATTCAGGCGAGCATGAAATCCTGAAAACCAAACCCAGAAAAACTGAGAAATTAATACAGAAGATTCTTTCTAACAAAACCACCATGGAAAACAGTTCAGTAGTCAAATTAGATACTCTGTCTCCTGTTTCTCAACCTGAAAGAGGTAGATGTGCCAATTTATTCACAAATCAAATAAAATCCATATTTAAAAAAAAAGACAACTCAAGAATGTGGGCAGCTAGTATGAGTATTTTAGTATCCTCTCCAGTATTGCAGCTATCTGTAATTGGATCATTAAAAAAAAAACAGATCACTAATATCAGTTTAAATTGCAGCACCTATGAACAGAATCTGTGCTTGCCAACACATAAAGAATTCTCAAACACATAGCATTCTTTATGGACCTCACCTCTCTGAGCTGGCCGTGAGGGCAAAAGGAACGTGGAATCTGAGAGCTTGTCCCGGCCTGAGTCAATCCGCTCCATTTCAGATCGGTGGTCAGCTCCCCACTTGGGAAGAAGGTTGGGGACAGTGAATCCTGGAACACACTCTCCTTCATAAAACCAATCACTTTGCTCATCATCTCCTAAAGAAATAGGATGGAATTAGCCACAAGTAACACCAATGTGCTCTGTGACAGTCCCACAAAATACAGGTAAGCATTTCCAGATGTGACACAGTGAAGCCCCATTAGGAATTCCTTCCTGAAGAGCCTTACATTTTTATTTTGTTTCAATGATCTATGGTAACTATGAGGCCTCACTAAATGCTTTAAACTATCCAACTCATCAGCCTACAGAATTCCCCCACAGAAAAAAGGTCTCTTTATAGACCTGCCTAGGGCAGTTTTAGCACTCTGTTACGACTGCATCTCATCAACCTCAGTCCAATGTCACGTGATGTCTTATGCACAACTCTCTCTGAAGTAGTTACTGTGACAGAAGTAGAGGCCAATCATTTGGCACATGTTACAGGCTGTCATAGGAGTGACTTCACAACAGAAGACCAGGCTCACAGAGTAAGCAAAAGGAGCATACTCACTGATGAGAAAGATCCCTAGTCTCCTAAGACATCAATTGTGCTGGTTTTGGCTGGGATAGAGTTAATATTCTTTGTAGTAGCTAGTATGGGGCTATGTTTTGGATTTGTGCTGGAAACAGTGTTCATAATACAGGGATTTTTCATTATTGCTGAGCTTACACAGAGTCAAGGCCTTTTGTGCATCTCACACCAAGTAGGCTGGAGGTGCACAAGTAACTGGGACAGTACACAGCTGGGACAGCTGACCCCAACTGACCAAAGGGATATTCCATACCATATGATGTCATGCTCAGCATATAAAGCTGGGGGAAGAAGGAGGAAGCAAGGAATGTTCGGAGTGATGGCATTTGTCTTCCCAAGTAACTGTTACATGTGATGGAGCCCTGCTTTCCTGGAGATGGCTGAATGCCTGCCTGCTGATGGGAAGTAATGAATGACCTCCTTGTTTTGCTTTGCTTGCATGCGTGACCTTTGCTTATTAAACTGTCTTTATCTCAGCCACAAGTTTTTTCCGATTCTCTCCCCCATCCTATCAGGGGGGAGTGACAGAGCAGCTTAGTGTGGGGCTTAGTTGCCAGCAGGGGTTAAACCACGACGATGGTAAATCTACCTGGCCAGGAATCCCCTGAGAGCAGTAGCACATAAGCAGTGTAAGAAAAAAAGCAGGAAGAGGGCAAAGTACTTGACACACTTAGCTTTTCAGTAGCCCAACTAACAAACAGTCCCATGTAATTGCAAGGTACTTCACCTTGCCTTAAAAAACTAACACACCTAAGTTAGGGAAAACTCGCATTTGCCTACTATTAAGTAGGCATCTACTTCTCAAGCATCCCCACTTACTCTCCTTTCCTCACCTAGTTACATTACTCCTGGTGTCCGTGGCAAGGTTTTGGTAGCAGTGGGGGTTGCAGGGGTGGCTTCTGTAAAAAGTTGCTAGAAGCTTCCTCTGTGTCCAATAGAGCCAGTGCCAGTCCACTCCAAGACAGACCTGCCGCTGGCCAAGGCCAAGCCAATCAGCCACAGTGGTAATGCCTCTGGGAAAACATACTTAAGAAGGGGGGCAAAAAAAGGGCACGCAGCATTTGCAGCCGGAGAGAGGATTGAGAACATGTGAAAACAACTCTGCATACACCAGGGTCAGTGAAGAAGGAGGGGGAGGAGGTGCTCCAGGCGCTGGAGCAAAGATTCCCCTGCAGCCTGTGGTGAAGACCATGGTGAGGCAGGCTGTGCCCCTGCAGCCCATGGAGATCCATGGTGGAGCAGATATCCACCTGCAGCCCAGGGAGGATGGATGCTCCCATGCCGGAGCTAGTGGATGCCCGAAGGAGGCTGTAACTCTGTGGGAGGCCCATGCTGCAGTAAGCTCCTGGCAGGACCTGTGGACCCATGAAGAGAGGATCCCACATTGGAGCAGGTTTGCTGGCAGGACTTGTGACCCCGCAGGAGACCCACACTGGAGCAGTGTCTTCGTGAAGGACTGCACCCCGTGGAAGTGACCCAGGCTGGAGCAGTTTGTGAAGAACAGAAGCCTGTGGGAAGGACTCACGTTGAAGAAGCTTGTGAAGGACTGTCTCCCGTGGAGAAGCGTCTCCCATGGGAGGGACCCCACGCTGCAGCAAGGGAAGACTGTGAGTCCTTCCCTTGAGGAGGAAGAAGCATCAGAAAACAACATGTGATGAACTGACCGCAAACCCCATTCCCTGTCCCCCTATGCTGCTTGGGGGGCAGGTGGTAGAGAAATTGGGAGCAAAGTTGGGCCTGGAAAGAAGGGGGGGGGGGGGGGTGCGCATATTTTAAGATTTGGTCTTATTTCTCATTATACTACTCTGATTTTGATTGGCAATAAATTAAGCTAATTTCTCCAAGTTGAGTCTGTTTTGCCTGTGACAATAACTGCTGAACAATCTCTCCCTGTCCTTGTCTCAACCCATAAGCTTCTCGTTCTATTTTCTCTCCCTTGTCCACCTGAGGAGTGATAGAGCAGCTTTGGTGGGCACCTGGCATCCAGCCAAGGTCAACCCAGCACACTATGCCTACCCATACAGCTTGCCAGACAAAAAAAAGGACAAAAAATAATACAAGAAAAAAAAATCATCCTAGTAAGAATGCTTCAGTCTTGCACATAACAGAGGAAGCAACATCCAAAACCTACTCAAATCACTAACAAGTAGGACAGCCAGAACACTTCATCCCAAAGCTCTGACACTGCTTTTTATTTCTGTGATATGTCAGTTGACCTAGCATGCTTGTGACAAATATATTTTAAAATATAAATAACCACACCCACCTTGTAGTAAATTAAAACTAAGTAATGTTGAATAGTTCTTCTAAATGATCATAATTTGTGCAAAAATATCCCTATAGTTTTGGAACTATGAGCATAGTGCACTGTCATATCTCAAATCACTACTTTCACAAGACAAACTTTAACATATGCTAACACCACAGTTACTTTCACTGTGAGAGATCCCAATGCATTAAAAACAAACAAACAAAAAAAAACAACAACAAAAAAAAACAAACACCAAAAAATTTTACAATCAAGTTATAAACTAGGACCATTCTCTGCTCACAGTAGTGCACTGGTAGCTAGAATTGCAAAGACAACCTATTTAATAAGCAACACAACAAATATTACATGACATAACCTCAAAAGAAGCGGGGGAAATACATTCTATTAAAGTACTCTGCTTTAATTTTAATATCTTAAATTTCCTGTTATTCAGTTTGGAATTGTACTAGAAAACTGCTTCTAAGATGATGATCTGTGGAAAAAAAAAAAAAAGTTTGGTGCTCTTTCCATCTCACCGAAGTGGAGAGCTGTTGTTTGTTATTTTCTTTATGGCTAGAAATTGTTGAAAAAAATGAAACGGAGATGTTTCTTATTTAACCTGAAAGTGCAACAACAATTTTTAACCCTTTTTAACACAACTGTAAGCTAAAACATCTTGGCCAGAAAGCTATTATAGTATGAACTGTTTGAACAGACAGAAGCCTGATGACTAGGATGTCAAATCTCTCCTAGTACCTAGACAAGGAAGGCTGTAATTGGAATTTATTAATTTATTTAAGTAGTATAATCTACATGCTCTTGTATACTGGGTATCCTACTTCTAGTAGCAGCCAAAAGTTAATGCCTCAAACAGAGTATAAAACCAGGGCAAGTATATAGGTCAAGCATATAGACAAGTGTATAGATATACTTATCCAGTCTACATCAATCTTGTCTCAGGTGATGAAGTAAAAATTCAACACTTCAGTCACCACCCTGCTTCGTCACCTGATATGCAAGTGCTCACTAATTTCAGCTTCCCCAGAACAGTCCTCGATAAAAAGAGAGGACAGAAGATTTGACTTTTCTATTGCTTTTGAAGGATGGGAGGCTGGAAACAGTTATTTTTCAGCAAAGGTCAAAGCTGATATTTGAAATCCCTATGCTCTTGGGGAACATATTATAGCCATCTAAGATAACAGATTGGCCCTACAGCCTAACAAATCATCAGAAAACATGTAAGCATATTTGCTATCATTGTGTTGCCTCACACTCAGACACCTGGGTCAGTAACAAGCTAGTAGAAGTAGCATTTCCTACTGAGTTACTGATACTACTTCCTTTAGCACTCATATATTCCCAGAAGAGATCTCATCCAAATCTTAGCTTATGAAATGTGACGGAATCAGAGTGCACACCAGCAGAAGCTGTGCAGAATTACAGGTCTCCAGGGTCACATTCCACCTGCTCCAAATATAACAGTCCTGAGTGCCTATGTGCCTACTACAACCTCTTTCACCCTTACTTATGCCATATTTCCCATAAACTGGACAGTGTGCTGTTACTGATAAATAAAACCAGATTACACTCCACACTCAAACCTCCTAAGAAACCATTTCTACAACAGATGTTGAAAATACTACACTCAGCCAATGCACACAAGAGCAAGGGAGGAACATGTATTTAAAGAAAAAAAACATATTACTGTTGTCTTCTTAGCACAATCCATTAGGTGACTTGTCAGTACTAACTGATTTTTTTTTTTTTTCACATCATGTCTTCCTGCCCATAGAGAAAACAACTAACAGATTCAGGCACTAATAGTATGCAGACAACAATTAAAACACAGAAACAAATCATAAGCTCTGTTCTTTCATTATGGAGAGCTCTAAAACTCCTCTTGTGTTTCTGTGCTTTTCCATAATAATAGCTTCTTATATTTCAAGTGTTATGGATCTATTTCAGCA